TGTATATAGTTTATTATATAAAATAGTTTTTTAAAAAACACATTTAACAAAATAAAAATAAAAATTATTTTTGTTGTGAATATAAATTTAAGGATCAAAAGATAAAAAAAATATTGTTAGATAATTTAATATTTTTTTATTCAAAAAAATTTTCTGTTAAAGTTAATGGATATTTTTTTAAAGATGACGGACTAAATAGAATTGAAATAAATGTGAAAAATAATAGATAAAATTAAAAAAATTTAAAAATAATAAATAAAATTAAAAAAATATAAAATTAATAGCTAATTTATTAAATTAACTCTACAAAATTTTATTTCTTCTACATTCATAGTTCCCTTTCTTTCCTCTTTTTGAAGTTTTACCCCTATTTTTAAATCGAACCTCGTTCTCATTTGGTGAAGATAATGTATTACTAATTGCTATTGCTTTTGTATGATTGAAAAGGAGGTCTGCTGGAAGGCCAAAAAATTAAACGAAAAGGAATTCTACTGAAATGCAATAGATTCCAACACAGGAAGAATCATATAAATAACCAGATAAGCTTGCTATTCTTACAGCATAGAGAATAAAATTTCAGGAAAATTAGAAAAAAAAAATCTATTACAAGGTTAGATACTAACACATAAGCAAGCATTAACCAATGATATATATTATGCAGTATACACTATTAATTTATTAATTTAAGAACTTAGAACACTAATAATATTGTTGTGAATATAACCTCATATTAAATGTAAGTGTATATTATCATCAAATAAGTAATATAATAATGAATTCAAAATCGTTTCATAAAGAGTAAAGATTAAAAAATACTTTTGCTAAGTACTAATGTTATCTTAATTTTAATTTTATTTAACAGCTTCAAAATTTAAGAAGAAGAAACACAAATTAATCAATTCTAAACTAAACTAAACTAATTTGCTAAATTAGTTTCCATTTCTAAATAATTTAGGAACACAATTTTCACCAACTTAATCTACTTCAAACTTCTATTGTTGAATTTTCTCAATCTATTAATTCTTACCTGACAGTAGAAAAAATCCATATATAAATTACTAATCTTTCTTAAGATCTAGTAATATTTATCTTTTAATTTATCAAGTTTTGTAGTTCTACACAAACCAAAATAAGTAGAAATAAGTAGAAACAAGTAGAAAACATTGTTAAGCCTTAACGAATTTTCTTTTGAAATTGGACATAAATATTAAGAGTATAATCTTATCTTATGTAATTTGTGTTTTTTTATTTAAGAATTCAACTCTAATATATTTTTTTTAAGATAAGTGCTAACTACTCAAACAACTAATTGAGTGATTAAGTGAACTAAAAATATTAAATATAAAATAAAACAATCACTTAAATAAAAAATAAATAGAGAAACTGATAAATTCAACTAAACTTAAAAATTCATGATTTGAATTCAATTGGAACTCTAAAAAAAATAACTATAAACAAAAAACTACACTGACACACCACAAAGATAAAAGAAAAAACCATGAACAAATTTTGCGGAGAGTAGCGATCAGCATTAACAAATATAATATTACCAGCCAGATTTTTTTTTTTTTTTTTGTGTGTGTGTAATTTCCATTGGTTTAGTAGGTCCATGTTTGCATTTCCACAGAAAAGATCACAAATTTCTGGTCGGCTTCTCTAGAGATGAGAACTTAGAGGCCTGTCTAACTACCCAATTTAATCCCTCAACTTTTTATTTTAGACCAAGTTCATTTTTAAACTTTAAAAATGATCAGAATCATCCTTAAACTTTAATTTATTGGCGCCAACTTCATCCTTCCTTATTTTATGTCAAAAGAACATAAAATAAAGGAATATTAATTTTATAATAATTATTAATTTTTATTTTAAAAAATTAAATTAAATTTTCATTTTATTGTAAACATTATATATTAGATTTTTATTAATTAATTTTAAATTAAAAATTAAAAATTATTTTTAATATAAAATTTTATTTTTTTAAAAATTATAATTATTATTTAAGAATGATTTTGTAACCCTATATCCATATAGGGAGAAATAAACCTTCAAGAAAAGATGCTATCTGGAGATCACATATGGTGACACTACAGACAAAGTGCATTTGGTGCCATCATAATTTTTTTTTTTTGGAGGAAATTAGTGCAATCATTTTGTGTACAAAGAAAATGAAAAGAGAACCACAGAAATGATAGCAGAAGCTTGAAAGGCTGTTCTACATTGAATAATTCCGCCAATTTTTGTCGTTGATTTAGGTTCTGTTTTCTTCATTATCATGACTAGAAGCAGTGAAATGTTAGACTTTTGGGCTTATGAGGTTCTATTTCTTCTACGTTCAGAGTTCCCTTTCTTTTCTCCTTTTTTTTAAATCAAATCTCTTTCTCATTTGGTGAAGATAATGTATTGCTAATTGCTATTGCTTTTGTATCCCTTGAAGATGACACGTGGTAGTATAATTATAATGCTGAATTGTTAATCGGTTCTTTTAATTT